TCATCATCTTGTGCTTGTGATCTCCATCTCCGAAGCACCGTCGTGATCACCATCGTCACCGGCGCGACACCTTGATCTCCATCATAGCATCGTTGTCGTTTACGCCATCTATTGCTTCTACGACTATCGCTACCGCTTAGTGATAAAGTAAAGCAATTACAGGGCGTTTGCATTTCATACAATAAAGCGACAACCGTATGGCTCCTGCCAGTTGCCGATAACTTCGGTTACAAAACATGATCATCTCATTCAATAAAATATAGCATCACGTCTTGGCCATATCACATCACAACATGCCCTGCAAAAACAAGTTAGACGTCCTCTACTTTGTTGTTGCAAGTTTTACGTGGCTGCTACGGGCTGAGCAATAACCGTTCTTACCTACGCATCAAAACCACAACGATAGTTCGTCAAGTTGGTGCTGTTTTAACCTTCGCAAGGACCGGGCGTAGCCACACTCGATTCAACTAAAGTGAGAGAGACAGACACCCGCCAGCCACCTTTAAGCACGAGTGCTCGTAACGGTGAAACCAGTCTCGCGTAAGCGTACGCGTAATGTCGGTCCGGGCCGCTTCATCTCACAATACCGCCGAACCAAAGTATGACATGCTGGTAAGCAGTATGACTTGTATCGCCCACAACTCACTTGTGTTCTACTCGTGCATATAACATCAACGCATAAAACCTAGGCTCGGATGCCACTGTTGGGGAACGTAGTAATTTCAAAAAATTTCCTACGCACACGCAAGATCATGGTGATGGCATAGCAACGAGAGGGGAGAGTATTGTCCATGTACCCTCGTAGACCATAAGCAGAAGCGTTAGCACAACGCGGTTGATGTAGTCGTACGTCTTCACGATCCGACCGATCCAAGCACCGAACGTACGACACCTCCGAGTTCAGCACACGTTCAGCTCGATGACGATCTCCGGGCTCCGATCTAGCAAAGCTCCGGAGATGAGTTCCGTCAGCATGATGGCCTGGTGACGATGATGATGCTCTACCGGCGCAGGGCTTCACCTAAACTCCGCGACGATATGACCGAGGTGGAATATGGTGGAGGGGGGCACCGCACACGGCTAAGGAACGATCCGTAGATCAACTTGTGTGTCTATGGGGTGCCCCCCGCCCCCGTATATAAAGGAGCAAGGGGGGAGGCCGGCCGGCCCTTGGGGCGCGCCAAGGAGGGGGGAGTCCTCCTCCTAGTGGGAGTAGGACTCCCCTTTCCTAGTCCAACTAGGAAGGAGGAAGGGGGAAGGAAAGAGGGGGAGAGGGAGAGGGAAAGAGGGGCCGCGCCTCCCCTCCCTAGTCCAATTCGGACTCCCCTTGGGGGGGCGCCACCTCCTGGGCTGCTGCCCTCTCTCTCCCCTCAGGCCCACTAAGGCCCAATACTTCCCCGGGGGGTTCCGGTAACCCCTCCGGCACTCCGGTTTTCTCCGAAATCACCCGGAACACTTGCGGTGTCCGAATATAGTCGTCCAATATATCAATCTTTATGTCTCGACCATTTCGAGACTTCTCGTCATGTCCGTGATCACATCCAGGACTCCAAACAAACTTCGGTACATCAAAACTTATAAACTCATAATAAAACTGTCATCGTAACGTTAAGCGTGTGGACCCTACGGGTTCGAGAACTATGTAGACATGACCTAGAACCATTCTCGGTCAATAACCAATAGCGGTACCTGGATGCCCATATTGGTTCCTACATATTCTACGAAGATCTTTATCGGTCAAACCGCATAACAACATACGTTGTTCCCTTTGTCATCGGTATGTTACTTGCCCGAGATTTGATCGTCGGTATCCAATACCTAGTTCAATCTCGTTACCGGCAAGTCTCTTTACTCGTTCCGTAATACATCATCTCATAACTAACTTATTAGTTACAATGCTTGCAAGGCTTAGGTGATGAGTATTACCGAGAGGGCCCAGAGATACCTCTCCGACAATCGGAGTGACAAAACCTAATCTTGAATTATGCCAACTCAACATGTACCTTCGGAAACACCTGTAGAGCACCTTTATAATCACCCAGTTACGTTGTGACGTTTGGTAGCACACAAAGTGTTCTTCCGGTAAACGGGAGTTGCACAATCTCATAGTTATAGGAACTTTGTATAAGTCATGAAGAAAGCAATAGCAATATACTAAACGATCAAGTGCTAGGCTAACGGAATGGGTCATGTCAATCACATCATTCTCCTAATGATGTGATCTCATTAATCAAATGACAACACATGTCTATGGTTAGGAAACATAACCATCTTTGATTAATGAGCTAGTTAAGTAGAGGCATACTAGTGACTATATGTTTGTCTATGTATTCACACATGTATCATGTTTCCGGTTAATACAATTCTAGCATGAATAATAAACATTTATCATGATATGAGGAAATAAATAATAACTTTATTATTGCCTCTAGGGCATATTTCCTTCAGCTTCTTCGTGGACCCTTCGTGGGTGGAGCCCTCCATGGACTCGCGCAGCCGTTACCCTTCGTGGGTTGAAGTCTCCATCAACGTGGATGTACGATAGCACCACCTATCGGAACCACGCCAAAAACATCCGTGTCTCCAATTGCGTTTGAATCCTCCAAACCCTTCCCTTTACTTTCTTGCAATTTGCATGCTTTACTTTCCGCTGCTCGTATACTCTTTGCATGCTTGCTTGATATGTATTATGAATGTTGAAATTGTGCCTAAACTCCACTTAAACTTAAAGAAACTTAAAAACTGCAACTTTGGTACTTAGTGTCTAATCACCCCCCCTCTAGACACCTTTTCTCAAGGTCCTACAAGGACGCGCAGCTGACGGCGTTCTCATCCGCGAATGCCAGCGCCGCCTCCACATTCGACTGCGCCGCCTATACGTTGCGGGCGGCGGCCTGAGCGCGGGTGGCCTCATAGAGCGCCTGCTGCTTGGTGACAAAGTTGGGGTTCGCCGCGGTGATGGCCCTCATGGCTTCCTCGCTTGTGCACTTGCCGTAGATTTGGCCCTCCTCCAGTCGGTGCCGCTCGAGGAGGAACCGGTTGTACCGTTGCTCCTCCTACACCTACCGGAACAACGACATAGGCGTGGGCACAGGCTACTCCTCTGCCATGGCGGCATTGAAGTGCGCCTGTGCCTACTCCATCGTCAATCTGGCATGCACCGGCGTGGGCTGTGACACAGAGTCGTCGTCGGAGCCAGTCTCTACTCGCCTGGCATCGTGGCTTTGCCACGTGGCCGCAAGGGCGGTCACCTTGTGCTTCTGCTCCATCGAGAGGCTCTCCCACAAAGTGTTTCCGCTCGCGGTCATGATAGATGTGGTGCACAGGAGAAAGATGTGGAACAGATGGGTTGTGGTGTGGTGTGAGTCGGGTGTGGTTGCCTTTAAATAGTGGATGCCGGCGAGGCCAAGCATCCGGGTGCGTCAATGCGCGGGCGTCAGAGTTGGTATCTCGGCCGGCGAGCCTGTTTAATAGTGGCAGACGGAGGGACGGGCATTGGACGTGCGTGGTAGATATCAATCACGTCCCGTCCAGTAAACTTCTCTCCGGCATTGAACAAGAATGGACACTGGGGACACGACACCCTCTGTCGGCGAGCCCTTCAATGACGGCGTCAGCGAGAGGTCACGCCCGCTCTATGCTAACGTCAACACGGAGCGCCCGCTCTAGAATGACATAAATGCGGGCAGCTGTTTTCGGGCAGGAAAGGGCGCAGGGTAAGGAAGAGGGGTTTGGGTGGGTCAAGGTTGTCAGACACTTGCGTGCCAGCGGTAAGGCGTAAAATGATGTTCAAACCACCGAGCAGACCGATATAAAACTGCGTTGGATGAGAAAACATCGTCCCGACCACTCAGTCCGGACGGTTGCAAGCGGTTTCTTACAACTTCCATTCTTTAAGTCGCTGACACGTAACATAATCATCCTCCAATTCAGATGACACTTCAATAAGATCTTTGTATGTAAAAGACAATACATAACGTTTTTTGAGGCACAAAAGGTCAACCGTGGTTGGATGCTTAGAGAGATAATGGTATTAACAGTCCATCAGAATTTAAGTTTTGGTACTCGTATTATTTATGTGCATGTGTACATTTCTAGGGGTTGAGTGTATGCACGCATATATGAGCGCTTACGTCTGTACTGTGTTAAAAAATACAGATGCGGATACATGCGGTCAAAAAAAATTACAGGTGCTGCAGCTGGTCTCGTCTGGGCCCGTCCGTACTGACGCGTTATCCCCCGAGCGGAACAACCAAAACCCTCCCCTCCCATTCCGCCTCCTGTTGCTTCGAACTATGGCAGCAGCAGCTGCCGGTGCTGCATCGGCCGCCGCCGCGCCAGCTACGCATCACGCCGACCACTCCATGAACGCCCTCCGCTCCACCGCCTTCCGCCGCTCCACCCTCCATTGGGACGCCGCCGCGGCCTTCTTTTCCCCGCCCTTCCGCTCTCGCCGCTGCCACCGACGTGTCTTGCTCCCTCCTGCCGCGGCGCTGCCCGCGAAGTCCCGCTCCAGGGCCAAGGCTAAGCTCCTGGCGGACGCGGGGGCTGTGGACCCCTGGCTCGCCTCCCTCTCCCTGCTCCCCGCCGACGGCAGCGACGCCGCCGCCGCCGCCGCCCCCGCCCCAACCGGCTGGGCGATTGGGATCGATCCAGACACTCGCGGCGCCATCGCCGTTCTCTCACCCGACGGCTCCTCTCAGGTGCGGCCCGAAACTCGCATTTCGCGTTGACTGGCGTGCTCGAGCATTCGTTCACGTTTTCACGTCCTGTAGGTGTTCGATAACCCGTTCGTGAACATAATGGTGTCGGAGCTCACACGGAAGCGCCTAGACACCAGGTCCATCATACAGCTTCTCCGTGGCCTTGATGCGCCTCCAGGTATGGGCACACGAGAGTGTAGTTGTACACTCCTATCTGGGGTATTGGAGGACTTAAGCCTTCCTTGTGTGTTGAGCACAATGCAGTTATGTTCAGTAACCGTTTGCTGGTGTCTGACTATGATATTGTGGTGTCTTTGTTATCTTGCAGGAACTACAGCGTTTATTGAGAAGTCAAGTCCATTTCCAACTGATGGAAAGCTGGTCGGTCTCTTGCTTTCCTCATATTTTTGCCAGTCAATGGAAGCATTTGCATAAGCATTACAATGAACTTATGTTCTATGCATCAATACTTCGAGAAGTCATGCCATTGGATAGTCCCTACAATAAGAATTGTTGAGGATTACATTACTCACTTGCAACTTATTACTGTCTTGGTGCATAACATTTTGCAGTAGATTGGTGGTAATAGAACTGACATTGTGTGCTTCTTGAGATCATGTGCCTCTGAAGATGTTCCATGGTAGGACTAGGGTTCCTACCGGCTCTACTGCGGAGGTTGTAGGGGCAAGGAGGGCGAGGGCGCGGCGAAGAACGGTTGCGCCGGCGGCAGGGCGCCGTCGCGGCTAGGGTTGAAGGCGGCGGCGGCTTGGCGGCGGCTGCTAGGGTTTCCGGCTCCTCTGGGAGCCGGGCAACAAAAGATAATAATAGTCTTTATTGCTTGCCTCAAATCGATGTCTTACATGAGTATTTATAACTTTAGCCTAAGATAACTTTCCTAAGATAACTTGCCTAAGATAACTTGTGGGCCAAGCCCCTAATACTAATGCCCTGTGGGCCTCTTCCTAGTATAGACCAAGCCGGTCATAACATCTCTCCCCGCCTGCGCAAGCAACTCGTCCTCGAGCTGAAAGTCTGGATAGTGTTGAAGGAAATCTTCACGCTGTTCCCAAGTAGCCTCCTCCTCCGGAAGGCCCGCCCACTGAATTAGAATGAACCCGACACCACGACGGAGCTGGGCCTGCAACACCTTTGCTGGCTCTGGAAGAATGCGACCCTTGGCGGTTGGAGGAAGCGCCGGAGGAGCTGCTGGTGGCTCGCCACGGAAAGGCTTGAGCAGCCCCACATGGAACACGTCGTGGATGCGGGCGCGGGCTGGAAGCTGAAGACGATAGGCCACCTTCCCGATGCGCTCCACGACAGGGAAGGGCCCGGCGTATCGAGGGCCAAGCTTGCGCTTCGCGCGCGGGTCCAGTGACTGCGTAGAGCGGTGGAGAAGACGCAGCCACACCCAGTCGCCCACGGCGAACTCCGCCTCGCGATGATGATCGTCGTAGTAGTGCTTGGCCGTCTGCTGGGCCTGAAGTAGGCGCTGACGGACCTCCGCTAGCATCTCATCACGGGTGCGGATAAGGTCACCTGCAGCCACCGTCCGAGCCGTCTCCGGGTCGACCGGAAGTATAGGCTGGGGTGGGCGACCATAGACCACCTCAAATGGCGTCGCGCGCAGGGCGGAGTGATAAGAAGTGTTGTAGCAGTACTCCGCCCAAGAGAGTCAGTCCACCCATGCGCGAGGCCGATCACCTGTCACACAACGCAAATACATAGCAATGACCTTGTTAACCACCTCGAACTGACCGTCCGTCTGAGGATGGAACGCCGTACTGAGGCGGAGCTGGACACCCGCCATCCTGAAGAGGTCGCGCCAGACATGGCCTGTGAAGACTGGGTCCCGATCACTGATGATCGAAGTCGGGAACCCATGGAGACGGACAATGCCGTCGAAGAAGGCCCGGGCCACGGACGCCGCCGTGTACGGATGGCCGAGCGCGATGAAGTGGGCGTACTTAGAGAAGCGATCAACCACCGTGAGGATGACCGACTTGCCCCCAACCTTGGGAAGGCCCTCGATGAAGTCCATGGAAATATCCGCCCAAACCTGAGATGGCACTTCCAAGGGCTGAAGGAGCCCCGCCGGCCTCAGGGTCTCCGTCTTATTGCGCTGGCAAGTCTGACAAGATCGAACCCAGTCGCGGACTAGGGCACGATCGCCAGGGATGTAGAAGTCGGCGCGAAGACGATGGAGGGTTTTCTGCACACCCTCATGGCCGGTCGAGTGGGCGAGCTGTAACACCTGGTGGCGGAGATCATCATGCGCCGGAACAAAGATCCGGCGCCCATGGAGGAACAGTCCGTCAGAGAAGCGCTAAGGCTCCTCCAAGGTGCCAGCCGCTAGCTGCTGCTGTAGTAGGGCGGCATCATCTGCCGTCTTAGTGGCGCGTCGAATGTCGGCGAAGAGACTGAATGAAGGCCCGGAGCGGATGCACAGGACCGTCCCGGCGGTCGGCGCGAGGTCGGAATCGCGACGGGATAGCGCGTCAGCCACCGTGTTAAGACGGCCCGGCCGATACTCGACGGAGAAGTCGAAGCCGAAGAGCTTGCTGATCCACTGGTGCTGCGGCACGGTTGACAGGTGTTGATCCAGCAAGAACTTCAGACTGTAGTGGTCTGTGCGAATGTGGAAGGTCCGTCCCCACAAGTATGGCCGCCAATGACGCACGGCCTGGACGAGGCCAATGAGCTCCCGCTCGTAGGCTGCCAACTTAAGATGGCGCGGAGCGAAGGGTCGGCTGAAGAAAGCAAGAGGCCCATCTCCCTGATGAAGTACGGCGCCGAACCCGGCGCCCGAGGCGTCACAGTCCACCACGAACGGGCGGTCGAAGTCGGGCATCTGGAGGACGGGGCCTGTCGTGAGGGCCCCCTTGAGGGCCTCGAACGCCGCTGTCGCCTCGTCGTCCCAAGCGAAGGCGTCGCGGCGAAGCAGCCGCGTGAGGGGTGCCGCGATGAGTCCGAACTCCCGGATAAATTTCCGGTAGTAGCCGGCGAGTCCGAGGAACCCGCGGAGAGCCCGCGGCGAGTGAGGCGTTGGCTAGGCGGAGACGGCCGCCACCTTATCGGCGTCCATAGCCACCCCGTCAGCTGAGATGACATGGCCGATGTAGGCAACGGTAGGCGTCCCGAACGAGCACTTCGAGCGCTTAAGGTGGAGGTTGTGCGCTCGAAGCTCGTTGAAGATGATGGCGACGTGCTGGAGATGTTCGGCCCAGGTGGCGCTGTAGATAAGAATGTCATCAAAGAAAACAAGCACAAACCGCCGTAAGTAGGGCCGAAGGACGTCGTTCATTAGGGCCTGGAATGTTGCCGGGGCGTTGGCGAGACCGAAAGGCATCACCAAGAACTCGAAGTGGCCATGGTGGGTGCGAAACGCCGTCTTGGCGATGTCGTCCGGATGCATGCGCACCTGATGATAGCCCGACCGGAGATCGAGCTTGGTAAAGAAGCGTGCCCCATGGAGCTCATCCAAGAGCTCGTCGACCACCGGTATAGGGAACTTGTCCTTGAGCGTGAGCGCGTTGAGGGCGCGGTAGTCGATGCAGAAGCGCCAAGTGCCGTCTGACTTACGGACGAGAAGCACCGGCGCCGAGAAGGGTGACGTGGAGATGCGGATGATGCCTGCGGCGAGCATCAGGGCACACTGGCGCTCCAACTCATCCTTCTGCAGCTGTGGGTAGCGATAGGGCCGTACCGCCACCGGAGTGGAGCCCGGTACAAGGTGAATACGATGGTCGTACACCCGGGCAGGCGGAAGACCCCGCGGCTCGTCGAAGATGTCGTGCTGCTGCTGCAGAAGAGGATCCAGTAGGGGGTGCTCGTCTTCTGAGGACGCGGCGGCCAGCTGGAGGTGTGGCACGGCCGGCGCGGCGCCCCCAAGGCCCTCCCACCGGATGCGGCGGCCCTGCCGCCAGAATGTCATCGTGAGCGCGTCAAAATCCCACAGGATGGGCCCGAGGGTCCGGAGAAAGTCCACCCCGAGGATGAAGTCGAAGCAGCCCAGATCGATCCCTGCACAGGTAATGGAAATTTTTTCGTCGCCGATGGAGATGGGAACGTCGCGGGCTAGCCCATGGCACTGGAGGTGATCGCCGTTCGCCACTGTGATCCTCAAGCGCTCCCCGCCCGTTGTTGGGAGTGCTAGCCGACGCATGGTCGATTCGGGCAGGAAGTTGTGTGTGGAGCCCGTATCCAGCAGGGCCACCAGTCGCTCGCCATGGATCATCACGGGCAGCAGCATGGTCCGCTCGCCCCGGATGCCTGCCAGAGCGTGAAGGGAGACGACGCACGCCGTTGCCGCGGACTCCACAGCCGTGTCCTCGGTAGCCGCAGGCGGTGGTAGTGCGTCGGCCGAGGCGTCCTCCTCGGTGTAGTCAACCGTCTCTAAATAAAAGAGGCGGGGGCAGACATGGGTCGGCGTGTAGGGCTCATCGCAGTTGAAGCAAAGACCCTGACGGCGACGCTCCTGCTGCTCGGCCGGTGACAGACGGCGAAAAGGCCGGGTGGCTGCCGAGGGTGTGGCCGTCGTAGCTGGGGAGGGCCGACCCGAGGTTGAGGAAGTCTGAACGGGCCGACTGGGCTGCCGGCCGCTCCGTCCGAGTGGCTGCTGCAGAGCCTGGGCCCGCTGCTCAAAGGCCCGGGCGTAGTACATCGCCGTCTGGAGGTCGTGGGGGTCCCGGAGCTCGACGTCCACGCGGATATGATCTGGCAACCCGCCCACAAAGAGCTCAGCGCGCTGGGTCGCGGAGACGCCCGGCGCGTGGCATGCCAGGGCCTGGAAGCGGTCGGCGTAGTCCTGCACCGTAGATGTGAACGGCAAACGGCCGAGGGCCGCCAGTCTGCTCCCGCGGATAGGAGGTCCAAAACGGAGGAGACAGAGCTCCCGGAAACGCTCCCAAGGTGGCATGCCGCCCTCGTCCTGCTCGAGGGCGTAATACCAGGTCTGAGCTGCACCTCGAAGATGATAGGACGCAAGCCAGGTGCGGTCCGAAGCGAGCGTCCGCTGCCCTCGAAAGAACTGCTCGCACTGGTTGAGCCAGTTGAGGGGGTCCTCCGTGCCCTCGTAGGTTGCGAAGTCCAGTTTGGCGAAGCGAGGGGGTGTCGGGCCGCCGTGCCCTGGGGCGGCTGCATGCGCCGGCGGTGCGTATGCTGGGTCGGGAAGCGCCGGGGCATAGTTCGCCGAGCTGGAGGGGTGATCAAACCGCAGGGAAGGCCTCTGGTGTTCCGGCGGCGTGGAGTAGGCCGTGCCCGAAGACGGGCCGGTCGCCCAAGCGGGGATCGGCGATGGCGACGGTGGGAACTGCACCTGGTGCAGGGGCCGACCCGTAGCCCTAGGTGCGGGCGGCGTTGCTGTCGATGGCGGTGGCTCCTGGGGGGCCGTCTGCTCCGGTGCCGGCGTCGTGGTAGCCGGTGGTGGCGCTGGAAGGAGCTGCTGGGGCGGGCTCCCCAGCGGCACGGTGGAGGCCGGCCAAGCGGGCCACGGCTGCACCGCAGCCTGGTAGGGCAGCAGCAGCGGCGGCTGAGGCGCCCCGCCGTAGGGTGCCTGGAAGGCCGAGGCTGGCCACTGCAGCGGCGGCGGCCCGTAGGAGGCGGTGACGGCGCTCGATGGCGGGGGCTGGGCCCCGGCGAGGTATAGGGAAATACCCCGGACCGCTTGAACCAACTCCCGAAGGGTGCCGGACACTTCCTCGGGCGAGAGCAGCGGAGGCGATTCGATCGTGGGGGCGACCGCTGCTGGCGCCGTAGCGGTGTTGGTGACGGCCGCTGGCGCGGTGGTGGTGGTGGTGACGGCTGCTGGCGCGGTGGTGTCAGTGGTGGTGCCGGATGCGGTCGTCATCGTAGACGGAGCTGGCGGCAGCGAGAGCTGGGCGGTGGCGGATGGTAGCGGCGGCGGTGATGGAGGTTGAGACATGATCGGCCTGGTGTCTCTGGATACCAAATTGGTAGGACTAGGGTTCCTACCGGCTCTACTGCGGAGGTTGTAGGGGCAAGGAGGGCGAGGGCGCGGCGAAGAACGGTTGCGCCGGCGGCAGGGCGCCGTCGCGGCTAGGGTTGAAGGCGGCGGCGGCTTGGCGGCGGCGGCTAGGGTTTCCGGCTCCTCTGGGAGCCGGGCAACAAAAGATAATAATAGTCTTTATTGCTTGCCTCAAATCGATGTCTTACATGAGTATTTATAACTTTAGCCTAAGATAACTTTCCTAAGATAACTTGCCTAAGATAACTTGTGGGCCAAGCCCCTAATACTAATGCCCTGTGGGCCTCTTCCTAGTATAGACCAAGCCGGTCATAACATTCCACACACAAGTTGAGGCTAGAGTTGTACTCTAAGCAGTGTGATCTAGTTCAAATTCAGTTTCTAATTTGAACTTGATAGAATCTAGTTCACACCATATGACTGTTTAAATTTCATGTGAAACATGTGGCATAATGTAGGTTCTGTTAGTGACTTCTTGCCGTCTGTTTCATGATGTATATTTAGGGATGGTGGAGTACAGGTTTTTCGTATGGCTTGTGGATTGCTGCTCTAGTGGCATCTGAGTTTTCTGTTGTACCGGTTGCATCACAGACATGGAAATCGTACTTTGGGCTAACTCGAAGTGCATCACCTAAGGTTTGCTACTCTTCTTATATGCCTCTCATTTACAGAAAACTGGTAGAAATCTTTTCTGTTTGTTGGTAAGAACTTAACAAGCTTAATTATGGCATTTCAATAAAGATGCCTAACCATTGCTATTTTCATTGATGTAATTAAGGTTGTGTAGTACAAAAGTAGATAACAGGGTAAGTATTGAGTCCTTGAAACAGGGCCAGTGTGGTGAGTTCTTGAAACCGTGTCGGTGGGTTCGTACTCATGTGCGCCGATCATTGCAACCCAGGAGACCTTTCAATATAAGTTCACAACTGAATTGTTTCAATTATTTTGAATGGTTTAGAGTGAAGAAATCTGGGTTGGACTTTAGATATCATTGGATTAGGTTGGGGTGCTATGATCTAAGCTGACGGCAGTAATGAATCAAATCTGAGTTCGACCAATTGATTGCTACTGTGGTAATGCATAGATGTTATTTCATTTTAGAGAGCATTTCTCTCTCCTCATCTGAATGTTTGTTGCTAGATCTTGTGTGTTGTTCTACTAATTGTAGACTTGACGTGACACCAGTTTCATTACATGTTTCTTAATCCTGACCTCAAATTAGTACTGCATCATAATAGTTATCTTATGACCCTTCTACGTTTGTCAGGATGATAGCAGACGAGCTGCTACAATCTTGTTCCCGGATAAGGCTCTGTCCCTCAAGTTGAAGAAACATCACGGTACGCATCTTACTATTTTCCAAGTCACAACAGTAAGTCAGTAAATGAATTATTTTGTCACAACATTCTAGTTCGAGCTGATCAATTGTAGACACTGACATATGCGTATGAATAAACATGATGTACACATGATGTGCTCTGTGTGTATTTCTCGTCTTGCTTTCAAGGTGTACTGAGCAAACAAACTAATTACACATATTCCTCACAGTCCAGCTAAATATGTTTTGGCTAGTATAGTTAGCTTAACCCATTTAATTGAATGACCTGCTGAAAAATGAGTAGATGATAATGCATTTTCTTCCGTAGTTCATTGATGTTTTGACACTGATGCAGGGCGAGCAGAGGCTCTTCTGTTAGCAGCCTATGGAAAAGGACTCGTGCTACCATCAGAGAAGTTCATCAAAACACAAAGAGTGCTGAAGCAAGAAACCAACTTGACATTGACAGGGACGCCTGATTGAATCATCAGTAATTATTAGTTGGTATTGACAACTGCTGTAAATAATTTGGTTATTCGCAGGAGCCCTATCATGTACTACCTCCATATCAAAATATAAGATGTTTTTGCAGTTCAAATTGAAGTACAAAAACATCTTATATTTTGGTACAGATGTAGTACATAGTAGCTCGAGAGAGATCTTAAGTTCTTAACTCACTTCACGGAGGCATTATTGGTCTACCGTAGAGTTTAACAAGGTAGTGTACATTGACCATGAATATTGTTAACTTTTGGCGGCTGAGAAGTGAGACATTTGTACTGATTTAATTGATGTGATCAATTTTGCACATCTTTGAAAGTATGGCCATCTACCCTTTTTGTTTCTTGGAAACTTATTTTAGTTGCACACGTCATATGCATGTGTGTATTACATACAGGTTTAACAGCTGAATTATCCAGGAGAAATGAGAGCGGCTTAAAATGTCCTTTTTTGTGACAAAACATCAAATGCACCATTTATTTTTAGATGAAAGGATCGAACCGAGCCCGAGTAGGGCTCGATCTTCACCCGGCTTTGAATTAACAAAGCCATCAACCGGCCAGGATTATAAAGAGCACACCATACAACCAAAGATAAAAAGGAAAACGGGGATGCAACCCCAAGGCAGCAGATACAAGGCACCGATGGAGCTAAAATCTACGACCAGAGAATAAAAAGAGTACAACTTAGGGACCTAACAGGGGCTAGACGGGATTGCGCCAAGGAAGGAGCTTGCCATCGACACGCCGAAGGCAAAGCAGAGCTGCTCTCACCAGAGCCAACAAGAAAACAGGGCAACCACTCGAGCACACCCGAAGCCACAAATTGCAACTCACACATGAGGAGCAGGCCGCAGACACTAGCCATAGGAACCGAGCACTTCAAGAAGACACGGCGAGCAATGGGCAACAACGCCACCAGGAGGGCCGAGCCACACCAAGACCAGCGACACTCCTCCAACAACGCGACCAAACCGCCGTAGAGGGGACCACTATCCCCCCTCACCCAGGCCGAGGGCGTCGACCCACCGGACAACCGGACCGCGCAGAGAAGGAAATGAAGCAGCTTGAGGAAGACATCGATCCTCCATGGCGGGAAGTCACCGCTGGACGAAGGATCCGCCGCCAACTAGGACACCAAAGGCTTGCCGCAGGCCACCCTCCATCCCACAACCCAAAACGACGCCTTCAAGAAGGAGGTGCAGAGGCACCGTCGCCGCTCAACCAAGGTTGTGGATTTTCAACCGAGAGCAGGGGAGGGAGGGGGGAGGGAGATGGACCTCAACGTCGCCTTCGAGAAGGGGAGCGGCGCCCGAAGCGTCGCCGACGATGTGGCCGCCGCCGGCGGCCAAGAGGTTACCCCGATCCAGGGCTCCCCACCCCACCACCACGACGTCGTCCACCGGATCCGGCAAGACATGGCGTAGGAGAGGCCGCAGCAGGAGCCAAAGGAGGCGTCTTCATATCTGGAGAGGCCAGACACGGGGAACCAACCCCCAGCCGCTCGGATCCACCGCCGGCCCGTTGTCCACACAGCCGGGCAGAGGCGTCCCACCGCGCCTAGGGACGCTGCCCGCCGTCGGGGAGCGCCGCCCGCACAACCTGGAGCCGCCGCCCCGAACCCTAGTCCCCTGCCCAGCAACAGAGCGGCAAAGAACCCCGCCGCCGCCCTCATCAGCGGCCGCGCGGGGAGCCCGGCAACTGCCTCCAGCGACGGCAAGGAGGGGAGGCCGAGAAGGGGGGCTGGCGGCGGCCGGGGGAGGGAACCCTCGAGTCACCCTCGGGAGGGCGACGCGAGGGGAGGGAGGGACGAATGAAATGTCTGCCGCCATTTATTCATTTACGTACTTTCTGCATTGGTACTGTACATGTATCTTCTGCAACAGGGGATCACGACGACATACAATAAACGGGCACAGCATTATGATGTTACAGAGTAACAGCACTAAGAGCAGCCTCATAGCTTTGAGGCGCTCGCGGTAACCTTGCTCAAGGCAGTAGCTGCCTTGGACCCAGACTGGCGCCCCAGATGCTTGCAGATGAACTCGCCGGCTGCGATTACCTTGCTTAGGTCGACGCCTGTCTTGATCCCCAACCCATTCAGCATGTACACTACGTCCTCAGTAGCAACATTCCCTGATGCGCCCTTCGCATATGGGCAGCCACCAAGGCCCGAGACGGAGGAGTCCACGACACTAATACCCATCTGGTCGAGCAGAGAACATGGTTGATCACATACAAGTGTCGGATGATAAGATCTGAATCACCATTTTGTTTTTAATGTGATGGTTTGTTCAGTATCTCAGTAGATGATTACCTGGAGAGAGACAAGGATGTTTGAAAGAGACTGCCCGTAGGTGTCGTGGAAATGGACAGCAAGCTTTTCCACGGGAACGACAGACATAACTGCCTCAAGCATTGGTACAACTGTGCCTGAATATATCGAAGAAGCTACATATTAATTGAAATTTTCATGAAGCGAAGGTGGGTTTATCTAGATAATTAAACACAGTCTGACATTAAGAGGAGTTAAAATTTACTGGGTAATCAATGTTTTCCCAAACGACACTGGTATACAACTAGGAGCAGTTTTCTTCCATTATTTGAGGACAAGAAAATTCAACATTTGAAGGCAACATGAGAAACAAATCATGCCAAATATGCCAAGGCTCCAGGATGACAGTGAGGACCTTGGTGTCAAACTGGCACGTGTCAGATAATATCCTTTGCCTAATGGATGTAACAAACTGAAGCCCAATAGTAGCAAGCAAAATCTAGCTATGGCATACTTAAAAATTGTGGGTAGCAAATAATGCAAGATCACCTGGGGTACCAACTCCAATCGTATCACCAAGCGAAACCTCGTAGCAGCCCATGTCATAAAGCTCTTTGGCAACATAAGCTACATCTGAAGGTGGTACTGATCCTTCTACTGGGCATCCAACCACACAAGAAACATACCTACATTGTTACATAATAGAGCAACACAATATTAACATATGTCACACTGGAAAACTGGAGTTCAAAAGGCTGGAAAATAAAATAACTTACCCTCGTACAGGAATTTCTAGCTTTTTTGCTGCAAGAGCAACATCATTATAGCGAACAAGGCTCTCTTTAATTGAACAGTTTATGTTTGACTTTGAAAATGCTTCAGAAGCTGACGCAAATATTGCAACTTCTTTGGCACCTGCTGCAGCAGCTGCTTCAAATCCCTGATGATAAATGAACAGGACTGGTTATTAAATGGGGTAAGCTAACAAATATAAAACCCACCTGATTAAAACTGATTTACCTTGAGGTTTGGAGTCAACACAGGAAAGCTTACACCCGTAATATTCCGAACCACTTCCATAACATCCTTCGCATCAGCTAGCTACAATTATTCAATATCGTATCATTCAGCAATGGGGTGTCAAATACTCCCTCTGTAAAGAAATATAAGAGCGTTAGTGATCTAAGCACTCTTATATTTCTTTACAGAGGGAGTACATGATAGGCAAATGAACTGACGGACAAGCAAAACGGAAAGTATACTTTGATAAAGTAGGGTGAGCTGAGCTAGCAGAAGACTTAAGAAGCAGGCAAGCCAATTGCATTCAAGGCCACAAGATTTCGCAAACAATTTTTTTTCATCACATGATAAGTTTTCAGTTAGACTACAACAGAATGCTATTTAGTTGGACTAAGATGACATCATAGTATTAGGCAATAGGCACTCCTGTACAAATTTTCTTTCCTTGCTTCATTGCTAGGCAGTATTCCTGCCGGAAACAATTAAGGATGGTGATTCAAGTCTGGCATAATGTTATCCAGAGACACATTTCAGTTCTTGTTTCAATAAGAAAATGTTATTTGTGGCACTAGGCAATGTATATATACTGTGTCTGAATCTTAATAGCAAGGATCATTTGAATACGCAGTAAAAAACCAATTTTCAAATGTCAACGGCAGTTCAGAACTATACTTATTCACAGGTTTAGAGCTTGTGCACCGTATTTGTTCCATTTCCCTCCATGTCGGACAATCAACTTCACCCAGACCACACTGCCAATATCTAGATTGCAACATAAATACAGAGGTAAACAATTTGGAGAAATCCAACATTTGCGTCAGAACCATTCTTCATTCGAAGTAGGAGGAAACTTTGTTATGAACCTCCAATGAAAAGATCGAGAGGTTCGGCAATCCACTATACCACTCATGGCCCATGCGACACTCCACTCCAACATTTAAACAATAACACACCCCTTGTTGGGCTCTGCAGGTTCCCGGGCTAAACACCATATGTCATATTTTAAAACCTAAAAAGTTCATGGTGGTGAAGCTCCAATTATGAGTATGGTTATGTTCTCATTCCCGTAGAGTGCAAATGACTTCAGTGAATGATGCAATTTATGCCGGTGTTGGAAGCTACTGTATTGTAATATATGGAATTATGGACACAAGAGTATCATGGTAATGAGCAATGGGACTATAAACTGCTGTTGTTCCATAATTCTGCAGTCTTTGTCAACGTAACAAGCAGCAAATTTATTTTATACTAGCAATGTGCCCGTGCGTTGCAACGGATCCAAAGTAGAATAATACATGTTCACAAACTTGAAAGAAAAACAATCTAATTTTGGTATATATATCACTTAAAATATACTCGTATTAGGTTTCACTTAAAATATATTCCTTGTGGCTTTTTTGATGAGGTGGGGGAGGGATGTGGTTGGTTTCAAGATACTAAGGGGCTTCTGCAAATTGGAGCAGAGAAGTGGGGTCTTGCTGCAAAAAATGCCACAGCTTTTACATCACAGTCGTTAGATGCAGATCTGATGGTCAGAAATGACGGATGACAGACACACAATCATCACCAACTGAGTCTTTTATAGGAGTAGAGACAGAGATAAACGAATAGATGGCAAAGTTCTGCCAGAACATGGAAATCATATAGATACCAAGGGAAATAAAACTGGGTAACGGAGATCTTTAGAG